CCCGGCACGTCACGGCAGATCGGAGCCATTTCACGAGCTATAGAAAGCTTGTGAATGAAGAAGAGATCACGGGGATCTGTGGTGAGCCTCTGATCGCAGTGGGGATCGGAGAAGTGGAGCTGAAGTGTGAGACCCCGAGCGGTGTGAGTACGGTGACCTTGAAGGAGGTCCGGCACGCTCCAAGGGCACGGCCAATTTGTTCGCCTTGGGAAGGGCGACGGATGCGGGCGCACGGGTAGTGCTCGAGGGGCGAAAGGCGCAAATAGAGTCGGACGGCGTGGTCCGAATGGAGGCAGTCAAGCGTGGTGGACTGTGGGAGATTGAGACCGTGGGGAAGCAGCCAGCATTTCTTGCGAGGGAACCGGTCAGGAAGAACCGGGTGACCGCCACGGCAAAGAGACCGGTAAGAGCGGAAGACGTGGTGAAAAAGACGGTGAAGGTCATGGAAGTCGACCTAGAAGACTTGGACGACGAGATAATAACCGGGGCATCGGTTATCCTGCGTGGTCGGGGGATGAGGCCGCGTCCCCGCTGGTGGTCGGGCGATTGGGGCAGGGGCCGGGGACGTGCTTCCGGCAAGGCTTGTGTGCTCGCGCGAACTGGCAGCCGGTTCCCTTGGCGGAGGCGCCTGTGTTCCACCAGATGAAGCATCGGTTTTGGTTCTGGCCCCGTGTGCGGGCCCCCTGGCGGCGAGACCCGGTGCCTGACTCGAGAAAGGACTGGGCCGGTTTTGCAATCTTGGCTGCGGCCTTTGCCGCAAAATTGCCATACGAAGAGGACATATCACATCAAACGCACACCCCGCGGCCCATTGCTGGAGGCGATGGGCCTCGTCAAATTCCAAAAATACATCTAGGTGCCAACCGTGGCCCCCACATTTGGTGTCCAACAGGAGCGTGATGCAAGATTCTTGGTATTGGCCGATCATAGTCCGGACCCTGGATTGCACCGATTTGCATTAATGCCGTTTTAATGCGCTCAGATCCTTTGATCCACACCTGTTACGATCCGTGTGGCATATCCATTCGGACGGCCTCGTATCAATTTTGTTCGGCAAGACTTATCCAATAGGGTAGTCGAATATCTGTTCTGAACCGCTGTTCTGAAGATTCTGAGCTACATTCATTTGTCGCCTCAGTCTCCTTGTCACCCGTACCCATGTGCACTACCGGACACGTGGTATATCTGGATGTACAGATAGCAGTCGGCGCGCGCATTGGACGCGACGACTCACACGTGACACAAATGCATATCATTGGATGATGATGTATGACGGGATGACTCGACTCAGCTCTGTCTAGACTTATCCATGCGGCCAAGTCTCATGTACTGATTACTGTGTTCGACTGAGTACCTGATACGAATGCCAACCTGGGTGTGTAGTACGATCTGTACGTACTGAACCAGGAAGGATGGCTGTTGAAACACAGCGTTGTTGGAAGTGATATTCAATCAATCAAGTTCACACAATGTATATGGAGTGTTCCGAGTCACGGCCTATCTTTAGATCTACACTCTAGCCTAGTAGGCTCAG